ACTGATACACACACAAACTGATACACGCACGCACTGACACACACACAGATGCACACACACTGATACACACACACACACTGATGCACTCACACACACTGATGCATACACACACACACACTGATGCATGCACACACACTGATGCACGCACACACACACACACACACTGATACACACACACTGATACACGCACACAGACACACAGTGAATCACACACACACTGATACACATGTGCGCGCGCACACACACCCTATAGCATAGCTGTCTAAAATCAGTTCTCTACTTCCATTATGTGAACTCAAAAGACCAAACTCGGGTCATTAGGCTTGGCCAAGATGCCTTTTCCCTGGGAGCTGATCTTGCTGTCTGCTTAAAAATTTTAAGTAACTGTTTATGTGTGTTTTGCCTTCACGTATGAATACACACCATGCTCATGCCTGGTGCTCCCCCTTGGAGGCAGAAGGGGCTTGGGATCCTCTGGGGCTGGAGTTACAGACAGATGTGAGCCACCATGCAAGTGCTGGGAACAAACCCCAGTCCTCTGCAAGAGCAGCCGGGGCTCTTACCAACTGAACCATCCCTCTAACGCCTTGCCCTCTGCTTTTTTAAGCCATCTTTTTTGTCCGGGGGTGATTTGGGATAGGGCATGACTCCTACTGCTGGTACTAAGTATTAGTGGCCACTGTTTTCCGCCTCTAATCAGGCCAGAGCCATCTCACTTGTGACCTGGGGTAAAAACCGTGCACGGATGTGAACATCTGTAGAGGCATGTACTGCAGTGAGACACACACATGTTAAATCTCTGTGGGTGCGAAGAAAGCCAAAGAGCTGCTGCCCTAGAACTGACTTGTTTATCTGACATCACAGGCCTCAAACCAAGTGTCGACAGGGTTGGCGTGTGAGTTGGTCAGAATGCAGATGAAGGCAAAAAAAAAAAAACCATAGAATTGAAGAGTGCTTTTAAGTGATCATACAGCAGGGAAAAAAAAGCAGATGATCATACAATACACACCCACACAGACATGGGAAATACACACCCAGGGTTCAACCCCCAACAATACAAAAAATAAAAAGATTACAAATAATAAACTGAAGTAAAATAAAAAGTAAAATAAAATAATAAATATAATAATTATATAAATAAAATAAATAATAAAAATAAAAAGTAAATAATAAATTGAAGTAAAGAATCCAAAGAAATGGGATGAGTTGAGGAACCATGAGCTTTGACCTTCTGTATCTCAACTGTTTGGTTCATTATCCCTCACCTCCAAGCACAGCTGGGTTCCATGGGTGTCTTGCTGCTGGCGTTTGCTGTGCAGCTGCATTTTCTTAGGGTGCTGAGCAGAAGTGTTTGCACAATTAACACCTACAGGAGCAGAGAGACCCAAAACCCCGCGAGATGCCGGGCTGACCTGATCCCGTCTGCAAGCATGCACGTGCTCATTCTTGGGCCCTCTCTGGGAGCGCCCACAAGACGCTTCCTTGTGCCCTTCAACTATGGGGTTCCCCAGAGAAGGGCAACCAAATCAAATCAAGCTCTAATTTTTTCTGGAGCTCAGTTGCTTCGAGGTCTCAGCTGTTCTGTGGCCCTTAATCTACCTAATTTTGAAGTCACGCACATTGAGTCTTCAAACAAGAAGCGAGAGCCGTCCAGAATTTTGGGCACCTTTGCGCGTTCGCATCAGCCCCGGGTTGGTCTCTGAGCTCTCCCCGCGAGTCTTTGCTCCTGGCATTTCCTCGCGGTCACAGTTTATGTTCTCTGGGCAGCTTTTCCCTCCGGTCCTGATTCTCTCATATTTCGGGTGAGTTCCTTCGGATGAGCCCCGCTGGGCTAACCTCTGTTTCTTTCCTGTTCCTGCTAGGATTATGTATATCACGTAGTGAGCGCCATCTGTGAATGGATCGTGGCCTTTGGTTTTATTTTCTATTTCCTAACATTCATCCAGGATTTCCAGGTAAGGATGCATCAGCTCAAGCGTTCTATGAGTCCATGACGATTAGGATCAGTAAAAATTTAGAAAAGTTCTTGCATTTTGAAAAACATTCCCTGTTAATAATGTGTGTGTTGGGGGCGAGGCTTGTGTCCTACACAACTTTATTAGCCTGTTCTCAAAGCGGGATAGATCAGATTACAGCTCTAAACAGCTCTAACTGGTCATAACCGGGGACACGTTCGTGCTGTCTGCTGTTCGAATCTCAAAATCCTGTCTGTGTTCAGGTAGATCTCACTAGTTCCAAAACCCCAAAAATATGACTGTGTAAAAAACTTTGTGTTGTTGAAAAGACAAGAATTTAGCATGTTTGACCGCAGGGAACGAGTGAGTCATTGGCCAAAATGATGTATAAAGCCGAAACTCCTTCGGGGCTCAATTCAAGCATGGCGCAATAGTGGGGTCACCTCTTAGGGGGAGGAGAGCGTCTGAGAATGTCATAGCTAACACCGGAATGCTTCCCTCTCTGGTGCCCTCCCCTCCCTCTCCGTAGAGCGTCACCCTGAGGATATCCACAGAGATCAACGATGACTTTTGAAAGCCTGGGCATCCTGTCTCACTCAGCGAATGTCACAGACAGCTTCTGGAAGTGGCTCAGAGGACAGATGGGCTTGAGTGTCGCCCTGATCAGGACGTATCTATGGCACACCCGGGACTTGAATTCCATTAAGAATTTCTAGCAGTTGTTCTATTTACAAAGGTATGTTTTCCTAGAGAATGCTCAGCACCTATGACACTTTAGCGATAGTTTTTATATTTTCTAAGACACTCTTTATATGGACAAATTCACATGCAGAAAAGAACATTTTCCGCTTTATGGAAACTGGGGGATTATTTTTGTATAGACTCTTTAGACTTTTTATGTATGATCGGTGAAAATACACTAAGTGAAAAATGTTAAGTTTAATCCATTTTTTTTTAAAAGAAGAAGCCAAATCAGGACATAGTCACTTTAAAATTTTGCTTTTTGAAAAACACGATGAGCTGCACACATTTTCATTCCAAGAGCAGTTACACAATCTAATTCATGGTGATTATATACCCTACTAGTAAAGATAGAGTTAATAAATCAATATTAAAACACTTTGATTTTTAGCGCTTTAGACACAGCGTTTTTACAGTCAAGGCTTCAAAACCCGTTTACTATGCACATTAACCAAGCAGTGTAGAAGACCTCGGTCTGGAAATTCAGCCTCCGGGTCTGGTTTGCTTCCCCGACAGGGCCACAGTGAAAGCTTTGGGCTGCTGTTAACAGGTGGCCCAGGAACTCATTCCTGGTAGGATGGGCTCAGGATGGCAGCTTAGAATTGTCAAAACTGCCCTTGCCTGGGAGGGTCCAGGCGTCAGGAATGAGACTTGTTAGCTTCCCTGTAAGCAAGTTAGCCAGAACACAAATGCAAGACAGGGGGAAGGGGAGGGGGCTAGAAACCCGGGTGCAGGCTGCATTTATTGCTCTGCTCAATGCCTGTGGCCACTGTTGAGTGCAGGTGATGTGGAAGGTGAGTCAGGCCTTTGCCTAAGCAAGGTCCGCAGACTCCACCTCTTCATCCGGCTCACAACTGACTAAAGAAAATGCCAGCTGTTGTAGAGAAGACGTGGCCTTGGAGGTGCTGACAAGATCCCAAGCTCCCTATCTCAGTCTGGGAAAGTGGATCTGCCTTGAGGGACCATGTGCCCAGGGCCTAGCAGCCCATTTGGGCAGCCTTGGTGAGGGGACACCTGGGGATCCAGGGGCACGCAAGTGCCGAGTCCTGCGTGGGTGAGCATCAGCAGCCACTTCTGCCCCGATGTCTTGTGTGTCCTCAAGCGTGGAGGGGTGCAAACTGCCGACCGTTTGTGAGTCCACTGTAATTCAATGCCACGCTAGTCCCGGGACACAAAGACGTCATTGTGAAGAGAAAGGGGAGCCGACACCTTTCCCGTGGGAACTGTGGTTGCCTGAATCCACGCTGCTCTTGGCTTTGAGCAGGAACAGTGTCGGAACTTCCCAGAACGCAGGCAGCTCTCTGCATGTCCACTGGAGGAGACCCCTGGGCACTCACTCCTTCAGGGCTGAACATGTGCCTTAACTAGAGTTCAACACAGTGCCTTCTAGCACACAGTCGGTGCTTAATAAATACCCACTGAATGTATGCGTATGTAAACGAATGAACAAATCCCGCAATGACTGGGGATGTTTGAGGTGCCATCTGCGGCTTTATTTCTCTAGCTCACTAGTTCTTCTGATGTCAACAGCTAGGCTGTGCTACATAGTAACGTTGTCCATTTTGCTTTGTGTACTGTACACACGTTCCAGTTGTTTGGGCTTCATGATTCGGTGACAACTCTCTTCCGGACAGATACCACAGCAATTGTTACACGGGCTAGACCTGTCTTGGCAAACCGAGAAGGCCCCAAATCACCCCATTCTGCAGATTCCATGCAACTTCTAACTTTATCCCCCATTTTGGTATTCTTCTTCATTTCTACAAATGTGTATTTCCTTGGAACTTCATGCCTAAGAAGGTAAAATAAAAATATTTCTTTATTCTGGTCATTTGTCTTTGTTATAAAGTGTCCCCCGGGTGCTCGGACGAAGTATAGTTATCTGGGCTGGTTCCAGACAGTTGGGTGTTTGTTCCAAGGGTGTGGCTGGGTCCTACTGATGCAGTGGACAAGAGCTGCCTGAACATGAAGTCCCGAGTTCGGTACCCTAGCACCCACATAAGGGCTACATGCCCTGGAGCCCCAGTGCTGGGAGGGGTCAGGATACAGGAGGATGGTTGTGACTGGCTGGTCAGACGGTTTAGTTGAAGAGGTCACCGAGCAGAACTAGCGTTAGGGACTGCAGCAGCATTAGCTGTCACTGGGACCCTCGCTACTGCCTCTTGGTCGGCGTTTTCCCGCAGCCCCTCCTCTGGAGGAGTGAGGAGGGATTTTAGAACCCCCAGGCCTGCCCCCTATTCTGACAAGGAGAGGGGCTTGTCTAATAAATAATTCCACCCGAAGCTCATATTTGAAACTTGTTGCCCTGATTGGTGAGCATGGGTCACGTCTGGGACAGGTTTGCTCGGATTGGTCACATGTCTACTGGGGGGAAGGAGCGGTTGGCATCACCCAAAGTCCCTGGGTTGATGCTGGGTAAAGCTACCTTCAGAAAGCTGTAGAAACAGGCCTTGGACAGGTTGGGAGAAAAAAAAAAAAGAAGATGGAAAAAAAAAAGAAGCCCACTTGAGAACAAATCAAGCTATATAAGCTATATTCACTAATAATCTTTTCAGATAAAAAAAAATAAAAGCAAGCCATTTCAGTAACACATATGCCTTTTGTTAAGATGTAAGCCCTGGCTGTTAGGTTTCTATCTAAGCTCTGTGAAGCTGACTAGGCTAGTATCACGTTTTTCTGATAAGGAAACTAACAGAGCGGTCCAGCGACCTGCGAGCCGTCTCCAGCCCCGTGGCGACAGACTCCAGTCCGGGACTCTGTTTTTCCTGTCTTCTGTTCAACTGAGCCCTTTTGTTTTCCCTCTTAACACTAACAGAGGATTCCACAGAAATTGCAAATTGCAATTTTATAAACCAAATTAAGTACATCAGTGCCGAACTGTGTTTGGGTTTCCTAACATCCCTTACATGTGGCATTGTCCCATGTTCCCTTTTTTTCTCCCCCCTCACTTGGAGACACGCTGGTCTGGAGTTTGGACCTAATGAGGAAAGGGGAGCGGTGGTGGGGGAGATAAGTGGTCTCCCGCTCGCTCCCCCTCCCTGATTCTGGCAAGCCAGTAAGCCCAGCTGTCTCCCCACACACATACTCTCGGTCTGGCTCTGAGTGCCCCACATTCTCCAGCCCAGAATGTCATGCATCTGCATCATGTCGGTTGCACAAGACAGCAACCGCACTGAAGCCCCGGAGGGGAAGCTGCTGGCTCCCTTTGGTCACCCCCAGCAGATCCGCATTCTAAACTGAAGGGTAACAGGACCCCAAGCTCGTATTGGAGATGGCAGCGACCTCCGAAGTTGACGCTTGGAAACGGCTGGAGGAGACGCCAGCAATGTGCGAGGCTGAGGCCGGGGTGCCCCGAGTTGCTGGGAAGCCTGTGGTGCGGGCTTTCCCTCTCAGGAAGCAGTTCTGTCTGCCGCCCAAGCCCCGAGCCGGTTCCACCTCTGTTCTTATCAGAAGTGGATTGTTGCTCTCTGGCAGGAATTCATTTTAGATTCATTTTTTTAAAAATTGAGACAGGATCTGGTCCTGTAGGCCAGACTGGCCTGAACCCAACTTGCTAGCCAAGTCCCTGAACTTGAAGTGGTACTCCTATTTCAGGTACACAAAGTCAGAAATTACAGGTGTGAGTCACCAGACCCAGCTCAAGATGCATTTGACATTTTACCTATAAGATTTCTGACACAATTAACCCGGGATTCTACCAATGATAGTTCTTTTTTTTTTTTTTTCAGAGTGAGATTGGATAGATATTTACTTAGTAGGTTATGGAAGAAGAACAGAGAGGCAGAGAGAGAGGAGAGAGAGAAAGAGGAGAGAGAGAGGGAGAGAGAGAGAGAGGAAGGAGAGAGGGAGAGAGAGAGGAGAGAAGAGAGAGAGAAACAGAAGGGAGGAAGGGAAGAAGTGGGGATAGACAAAAGCTGCCTCTTCGAGAGGAAGACAGAAAAGCCAATGCCAGTTCTGTGACCTGCTGCTGGGTCACTCTCTGGGTAAAAAAGAAATTGCAAGGTAAGTGGGGTTTGGTCATCTATACTCGAAGTCCTTTGAACCATTTGCTCTAACATTTTAAGTAAGCGGTGTATCACTGATTGAAGTCTTATAACAACATCAAACTATGTATGCCCCGAGCAGCCAATTCACTTCGCAGTATCTACATTTATTCAGGTTACTCCTATCCCTAAAGATAATTACTTTAAAAATTAAATTTCAACCCCGAGAGGGGAGGGAGGGGGAGTGGAGACAAAACCCCGCCCACTCAGGGAGAGTAAGAGCCAGTTTTCTCCGGGAGTGTAGGCCCTGGTGAGTCACACGACCTTCATTGGAAGGCCATGCCTCCAAGAATGGAGGGGCGCACAAATTGGATTTGAGGGGTGAGAAGAAAAGAAAGTTGGGTGCCTTGGGAGGGGAAGGGGCGAATCAGGGGGAGGTAGAGGATGGGGTGAATATTGATCAGAAACTAATAAAAATAGTTGTGGTCGTTTTGCAATGAAAAGGGATAAAAGAAAAGACTAAGAATAAACTCTAACTTTATTGGGTGAGGGGCATGTGCTCAGTACATGTTGGAATCAAGGGGTAATTTTGAAAATTGATCCTCTCCTTATACCATGGGATCTGGTGATCAAACTCTCTTTGATCCACTGGCCTATAGATGGTTACTTCCATTACTTTTTTTTTTTAAACATAAGCAAAACGAAACATTTCTTAGTTTTCTCCTTTGAATGTTTATCTCAAGCACAGAAATTAAAACTATGCTACTAAATACTGCTGCTCTGAGCTTTCCCTTGATTTAGCAATGTCTCCTGGAGATAACGTTTGTTAATACAGCTAGATCTTCTTGGGGGTCGTTTGCGGCAGAGAGCTGTGTGGCACAGCTGGCCTCTTTTTTATTTTCTTTGTTTGTTTTTGTTTTTTGAGACAGGTTTCTCTGTGGCTTTGGAGCCTGTCCTGGAACTAGCTCTTGTAGACCAGGCTGACCTCGAACTCACAGAGATTCGCCTGCTTCTGCCTCCCGAGTGCTGGGATTAAAGGCGTGTGCCACCACCGCCCGGCTCTTTTTTATTTTCTTAAGACCTAAAGTGTGTGTGTATATGTGAGCATCAGTGTGTGGGTACCGAAGTGGTCAGAAAAGAATGTCAGACTCCCTGGAGCACTCGACTGTAGCAGCATAATCTTTTCTTTCTCTACCCCTCCCGACTACCCAGCATCATATATATATATAATATAATGATATATATTATATGACAATGAGGAAGGAGAGGTAAAGGAGAGAAGAGGACAGATGAGAGAGGAGAAGGAAGAGGAAGGGTGGAGCTTATTGAAAAAAAATCAAGCCAGGAATGATGACTACAATAATCCCAGTACTTGGGAGTCTGGCTTAGGAGGACCATGAGTTTGTGGCCAGCCTGCTTTTCATAGTGAGGTCTAGATTGGATATGTAATGAGATCTTGTTTTAAAAAAAATCAGAATAGTGGTATTTTTAACACAGAGAAAAATAATAATTATGACTTAGGTACTGTAGTCGGTAGGAGAACAAAAAGTTTGGGAGATTGAATTCTCCAAGGAGAAAATCTTGAGGTTAAAGTTTTGTCATCAGCATTAGTTACTTTTACATACAGTTGGGGTGAAATATTGGCAAACACAACTTTTTAAAGGAAGGGTTTATTTGACTCACAGTGTGAGCGGAAGTCACAGTGGTGAGTTGATGGTGGTTGGAACCCGAGGCCGCTGGTCACATGCCGTCTCTAGTCAGGAAGCAGAGAGAGATGAAACTTGGTGCACAGTCAGCGGGCCTTCCGATGAAGTCTACTATCCAAACCCACAGAAGGCTGTCATCCATAGTTAGGATGGCCATCCCCCTTAATTAACACAATTGACAAACTCTCACGGATGTACCCAGGCATTTGTTTCCATGGTGAGGCTAAACCTGTCATGCCAACAACCAATAGAAACCGTAGCAGTTATCACAGGCACAAAAATAAAATTCCGCCATTCCTTTGGAAGAGTTGATGTCGGCGTGACAAAATGACTGAGAAAATATGATACACCAGTGCAGGGCACGATAGCACGTGCCTGTAATCCTAGCACTAGGCAGGATGAAGCAGGGGGATCTACAGTTTGAGGTCAACCTGATCTATACAGCAAATTCAAACCAGCCTGACCGACAGAGACTCTAACTGGAGAAAGGAAATGCTGGAGCCATAGCTCAGCATAAAACAAGCTTAGTATGTACAAGGCTCTAAACTTGGTCCCCAGTACCACAGAACTGCAGTGTGATATTAGAGACACACACCGTGTGTATTAGAGACGCACACACATGCACAGCCCCATTCCTGTCTCTGCCCCCTTAATTGCAGCCTCCACACAGCAAAATGTCTAGATTTATTTGAAACATTTTCTTACCAGACACAGAAAAGGACACAGGGTAAAGAGAGAGGACAAATGACTGATCAGAGTGACCAAACTGTGACTGGGATATGTGAGTTCCTAGCTCCGTTTTTGGCATTTTGGGGGATCTACTTTCATTATTATTATTATTATTATTATTATTATTACTATTATTATTTTATTTGAGAGACCCGTGCTCTTTATAAGAGCAGCATCTCATCACTCAGCTGTGTGAGTCACGTGTCATCCGATGACCGACAGGACGGCTTAAGGAAGGGTCCATTCTGCCTTCCTGTTTCAGAAGTGTCGCCTCATCCCGATGGTAGAAGAAAGGTGGGGGCCTTCCTCATCTTGTCACGGTTGGGTAAGCAGATACCGGAAAGACCCAGAGAGAGCTGTAGCTATAGAGACATTCTCCCAACCACCTCCTCTCTTCGGCCACCTTTGG